ACGGACCGGGGGTACCACCAGAGTCAGCAGACTCCTCAACGGGGACAACCGACGGGAGGGGAGTGACGTGAGAGACACCAGACGGGGCAGGACGAGGCGGGAGAGGGGCAGGGGCTACTGGGGGAGAGGGAGCAAGGAACAGGGGGGGGCAACTGGGAGACCTCGGTGAGGGAAGCGGCGGTAGAAGGAGACGGACTCGTCAAAGGTGACGTCACGAGAGTGCAGGAAGCGGTGAGACGGCGGGTGATAGAAGAGCCAGTCAGACGAGTCCAGGGGGAAACCGAGGAAGACACAGGGGACAGTGCGGGCAGTGAGCTTGTCCGTGCCAGAGGCACGAACGTGAGCAAGGCAGCCCCAGACGTGGAACGCAGACGCGTCACCGGGGTACCCGGTCCAAAGGAGGGTCGGCGAAACCTGCGGCCGCTGGGAGCGTGGCCACAGGTTAAGCTGGTGAGCAGCGTAGCGAACAGCGAACGGCCACAGAAAATGGGGGGCATCGGCATGGATCATGGATGTACGAGCGACCTCCATGACCAAGCCGATGCGGCGCTCAGCAACCCCATTCTGCTGTGGCGAGTCCGGCAACGTGTACGACTGGGTGATGCCCTCCGCACGACAGAACTGTCCAAGCCGACCAGAGGCGAACTCGCCGCCACGGTCGGAGTGGAGACACAACACGGGGAGACCGCGGTGGAGACGCGCAGCTACAACCCACGGGAGAAGAACGTCGGGCACGTCGGCCTTCCGCTCCAGGGGAAACACGGTGGTGTAGCGCGTGTAGTCGTCGACGAGCACAAGGAAGTAGCGCTCACCGCGCGGTCCGGGGACGGGGGCAGGGCCCCAAACGTCCAGGTGCAGGGTCTGAAGGGGGGCAGTAGCAGGACGCAGCGAGGAGGAGTGAGGAGCACGGCGGAGGCGACCCTCGACGCAAGGCGTGCACGGTGGCGCAGTCGAGGGTGGGAGGGCAGGGAGCGACGCGGGGAGGCCTAAGACAAGACCGTGCTGAGACATGTGACGCAGACGTGGGAGAGAAGGGTGACCTAAGCGGTGGTGCCAGAGAAGGGACGGGTGAGTGAGGGACCGACACGAGCAAGCTGCAGCGACCTGGGAGGACGCACCAACCGGGGGGGAAGCGGTGTCGAGGGTAAACAGACCAGACACCGGGTCCCGGGGGAACGTCGCAAGAGGGGAACCTGAGACTGCCTCGGTACAGACAGCGAACCGCTCGTGCCCAGGGAACGTGGTGGTGACGCCGAGGTCCTGAAGACGGCCGACACCAACCAGGTTCCTGGAGAACGAGGGAACGTGGAAGCCTGTAAGAGAGCCCGAGGGAACGGCTGGACAGGGAAGGGAAGTGGAACTGCGAGCGACGACAGGACCGGCAGAGGGGTCAGCGAGGGAGACAACCGCAGGTGCAGCAAGCGGCGTGATCGTGGACCGGTCACGGAAGAAACAGGCAGAAGCACCGGAGTCGAGCGTGAAGGACAGCGAGGCAGTGGCAGAGGCCGGGGACGGGGCGGGTGCAGAAGCTAGGCTAGGCAACCTAGGCAGTCCTACGCCTGACGCAGCAGGGGAAGCTAAGCTACACAAGGGTGAAACACCTAAACTAGAGTACACACGGTAGTAAGATCCAGCAACACTAGAAGCGTCAGCATACAAAGCATGCAAAGCAGCACCTATCTGATCCATGTCTAACTCAAAGATCGGCACGCCCTGGCGGAGCAGGTTGTGCCAGTCAGGGAGGTCCGGGGCCGGGCCAAAGCGACGACGAAAAAGATCGTCGAGGCGGCGGAAACAGCGGGCGGTCGGGTGCGGGCGGCGGCACAGAGTGCCGCGGAGAGGCCCTGTCTGAAGCTGGTACTGGCAGGTCACAGCACTGGAGCCGCTGGTAGACGCCAAGCTGCGCGGCCCGCCACCACGGCCACCGCCTCCGGAGGTGCCGGGCCAACCAGGCGGGAGACGAGCCCACGGCTGCGGCGGGTGCTGCTGGGACGGCGGTTGCGGCTGGGGCTGGTCCTGCTGCTGCTGGGGCTGCTGCTCCTGCCCACCGGTGGTAGTCCCCTCAGGCGGACTACCGTCACCACCACCACGACCACCACCACCTGCGTCACCACCCCTACCTCCCTGGCGGCCACGGCCACCGCGACGCGAGCGCTGCTGCGGGTGGACAGCAGCAGCCGTCTCGGTAAGACGGGTCGCCGTGGCGATCGCAGCCGAAACGTCAGTGAACGTGCACTGGGATGGGGCACAGCCGTGAAAGATAGAGACTGCCGGCGCACCGCTCGACTGAGCGATAGTGCGCTGGCGAGTCTCGATCTCAGTGAGGGTGTCGACAAAGGCGGTCAGGGTGAGGTCACCCGGGTGCTGGCTAAGAAAGTGGTCGCGAGCACTAGCGAGGCGGTCTGGCAGGCGCATAGCGATAAAATAGAGCGTCATGCAGAAAGGAGGGGGGAGCGCAGTTAGCTGGGCAGCAGTGCTGGCAGTGCGATAGCGAGTCTCTAGGGCACGCAAATGAGTGGCAAAGTCTGCGACAGTAGGGAAGGCAGCCAGGTCTGGGAACAGCATCGGAAAGAGCAAGCGGCCAGCAGAAGCGGAGGCAGGGGTGGAATAGCGAGCAATAACGGCGTCTAAATAAGCTTTGGCCGTTTCAACAGTAGCAAAACGCGAGCGCTCAGACACAGGGAGGGCGTGACTAATAGCAACCTGAGCTACTGCATCGCATGAGTCCCAGACCGCACAGGCCAGCGCAGCAGTAGAGAAAGCCTCACGCTCATCAGAGGAGGGGTCAGCAGGGAGGGGAGTAGGTGCAGAGGGGCGGGGGAGCAAGCCATCAGCATGGACAACCAGAGAGTGGCCATCCTGGCGCTGACCTGTAAGCTGGCGGCGGAGATCGGAGAGCCAGGCGGCGAAGTCAACCGCGTGGCCCTCAGCGTCCAGGCGGAGCACAAAGTCAGCCATCGTGCAGGGTCAGCGGCACAGCTCCTCAGCGACACAGCGGCACAGCGGCACAGCTCCTCAGCGGCACAGGAGCACAGCGGCGCGGGGACACGGCGGCAGCACTCTCCAGTAGGGCAGCAGCTAGGCGTCCCAGCGCAGGCGAGCAGAAGACACAGGGCCCGAGAGGACACGGCAGGCCGAGCAGGGGAGGCGGGCAGGTGCTCTGGGGCCGGGCTGGTGCTGGGAGGGGCCAGGCTGGTGCTGCTGGGGCCGGTCGGGCACGAGGAGGGGCCGGGCAGCGCTGAGGAGAGGCCGGGCGGCGCTAGGAAGGGGGCCGGGCGGCACTAGGAGGAGGCCGAGCGGCACTAGGAGGAGGCCAGGCGGGCGAGCGCTAACAGCAGGCGCGACAGGGGCCAGCGGCGCGACGAGGCCTAAGGGGCGCGACGGGGCCCAGCGGGCACGACGGGGCCCAGGGGGGGCGCGACGGGGCCGAGGAGGCGCGACGGGGACCAGCGGGCACGACGGGGCCCAGGGGGGCCGCGACGGGGCCTAACGGGCGCGACGGGGCCCAGGGGGGGCGCGACGGGGCCTAGCAGGCGCGACGGGGCCTAGGAAGCGCGAAGGGGCCCAGCGGGCGCGACGGGGCCTAGGAGGCGCAACAGGGCCCAGCGGGCGCGACGGTGCCCAGAGGGGGCGCGACGGGGCCTAGGAGGCGCGACGGGGCCCAGCGGGCACGACGGGGCCCAGGGGGGGCGCGACGGGGCCTAACGAGCGCGACGGGGCCCAGGGGGGGCGCGACGGGGCCTAGGGGGCGCGACGGGGCCTAGGAGGCGCGACGGGCGGAAGCGGTAGGCGGGGGGATCCTAACCTAAGCGTGATACCATGTTAACGTAGAAACGAATAATAACTAGAAGTGGAAACCTAGAACAAATACTAGTTGGTTGTACTCACTAGAAGCATACCTCAGTCTAGCCTATAACTTCTTTATAGATAATATGTATAAGTTGACACAAAGAACGCGAAGGGACTTGAAGGGTCGCAACTGGAGGTTGCGACTGACCGTTACAACAGCGCGGATGGTAACCGAAGCGACAATCGAGTTGCTGTGCGACTCGATAACCGCTCCTGCAACTGTATTCTACAACTGCTTTACTTTCATATTTTATTGTATATTGCTGTATGCTTGTCTCTTTAGTCAATCACTTGTTCTCATACACTAGTACAAGGGTTCAACTGCCTCAAACTTCCGCTGCACTACTCAAGCCTTTTACAACTGGGACTTAGTCTCTGGAAAGATCCTAAGGGCATTTCTCAGCCCAACATCAATTAGATCACAACAAGGTCAAGGTTGAATAACCTGAGTATGTGAACTTGTGGGTAATCAAAGTTAATAATGAAAAGACCTAACAAGTATTTATAGTTCTACGAAAAGTACATATGTGCTAATGTACCTGTTCGTCACTATCGCGCTATGCGCCCTAGATGATAATGAAGAGGTGCGACTGTTCGTGTGACTGAAACGACTGTCCTATGACGAGCGCTATTTGCTGACGTCATTCTACGGACTTATGTTCTACTGTAAGATTCGACACTAACTACACTTAATCGACTTACAGAAATGCTAAGTATCAATTATATCACAACAGTGCGAACAAATCGTAACTGTACAGGTCAGGAGCTTAGTGTTGCTGATCTGTCAGTAAATGACCTTTTTCTGGAGATGCTTGGCTGACTGGATAAGGTGGGTTTTGGGGAGTTGAGTGGTGGAGGGGAGGGAGGAGGACAAGCTGAATCTTGCACGACGGGTTTGCGGGACATTCAATAACGAGGGCTTCCTTCCCCCCCAGGTTTTTGTGCTTGTTCGCATGAGGATTGAGTAATGGCGTGTCGAAGGTTTCTCGACCGCTCTAAAACCCGATCAGGCCGTTCCAAAACGCGAATCACCTAGCCAATCTCTTCGCCACAGTGGGTAACCGTGTTTCAACCGCTATACAGTTGAAATGTGTGACAGCCTACCCACCAGAACAGTAAGTGCTCCAGTGACATGCCGTTCAACTAGATTGTTACGAGACCACGTGCCCTACAACTGTGGTGACTCTCGACGAGAGTGCGGTGTGGAGGCCACTAGTGGAGGGGTTGAGAGATCACTCTGGCCGCTCTCAATCTTGTTCCGACGCACGGCTCGCTCATTGCGCTCATCCAGTCCCACCACTCGCCCCGCCGTCTCGCTTCCCCTCGCCTCCGCTTCGTCACGATCCGCGTGGCGCGTGTCCGATCGGTCTCACCCCTCTCCCCAAGGCACCTCCACAAGGCTTCCACGAGGTGCTGGCCACCGCCCCTCCACTGGCCACCGCCCCTCCACTGGCGAGTCCGGAAGGCGGAAGGACCATCGTGTGTCGCCCCAAGTCCCCTGCGCACTGCCCTCGCCCCCCGCGCACTGCCCCCACGCACCCACCAGAACGGCGCATGGCGTCGTTGGAGCTGGAGGCGTTCCCCGGGCGCAAGCTGGACCTGCTGCTCTTCCACGAGGTCACCAATAGCGCGTATGTTTCCCTAGCCTGTTGTACTAACCGAAATTATAATAGCGCGTATGTCCCACAGTGTTCATGTTTTAACAAGCGTATGCGCTGCTCTTATGCGGCGTGTATTCCGTGCGCTACCTGCCCAAATCATCCGGCGCACCGCGCCACCAGTCCCATCTCTCCATTCCCGTTTCGCCCTCCGCTTCTCCCTTTGCAGCGGCGCGCTGCTGCCACCCCCTTGCGCCGCGCTGACAGCCCCGGCGATAGGAACTCCATCACCGCACGCTGCCCTTCCCCCTCCCGTCCAACCAGGGACGTGCAGCGCCAGCGCCAGAGGCAGAGGCACGAGGTGCAGTGCAGTGGGAAGTGCTGGGGCGAGGAGGCGAGGCAACCCAACCCTCGTGCGGGCGCATAGCCGCTGCTCTGACTCGCCCCCCTCACACCGCCTTCAGGGACCTGCAGACTCAACTCTCTGCACAGGCTGCTGCAGCGGAGAGGTTGAATCCCACAGGGAATTGCGAGTGGGCTAAGTGCACAGGTGCCCCTCTTGTTCGTTCCATTCCACCCCCATCCCCCTTCCAGGCACCTGCTGACTCGCCTGCAGAGCGGCACGCTGGAGCCTGAAGTGGCTCTCCTGAATGCGAGGCTGGTGAGGTGACTCTGTAACGAGTGAATGCGAAGCTGGTGAGGTGACTGTAACGAGTGAATGCAAAGCTGGTGAGGTGACTGTAACGAGTGAATGCGAAGCTGGTGAGGTGACTGTAACGAGTGAATGCGAAGCTGGTGAGGTGACTGTAACGAGTGAATGCGAAGCTGGTGAGGTGACTGTAACGAGTGAATGCGAAGCTGGTGAGGTGACTGTAACGAGTGAATGCGAAGCTGGTGAGGTGACTGTAACGAGTGAATGCGAAGCTGGTGAGGTGACTGTAACGAGTGAATGCGAAGCTGGTGAGGTGACTGTAACGAGTGAATGCGAAGCTGGTGAGGTGACTGTAACGAGTGAATGCGAAGCTGGTGAGGCGACTGTAACGACTGTAACGACTGCAAGGCTGCAACGGTTCCAGGCTGGCATCGACGCCAGTGGTAGTTTTCCTACGCCTGTTCCTCCTGTGCTAGCACCGTAACCTCCGCTCGTGTCAAGATTTTTTGAGTCAGCAATTCTTGCTCGCAGGTTCCCGGAACCTTCCCTGTGCTTGTGGCAGCACACAAGGCGCTGACGTCAGCGTCCATGGGGTCCCTAAAGTCCCGCACGCTTCACTCGGAGCTGGTCTACAACTACGCTGCATCGAAACATGTGAGTCCAAGCACGTGATTCCAAGCACGTGAGTCCAAGCGTGTGAGTCCAAGCGTGTGAGTCCAAGCACGGGAGTATACAACTATATCCAAGCACGCGAGTCTTGCGAGTGCAAGCATGCGAGTCTGCAACTATGCCGCTGAGTAGCCTTCTCTTGTCTCTGCTTGCCGTCTATGTCGTCTCCCCCGTCACGGCAAGCCTTGGGCTGCTCAAGTGCCACCCATCATCCTCGGCCTCCTCAACGTGCCACTTCCCTCTTTCCCCCCACCCCCTCCCCCCCCCCCCCCCACCCACCAGATCCGCGAGTCCCTGCAGCGGTGTGGCGTGGCGGCCGGCACGTCTGCTGTATTGGCAGCCAAGTTTGATGCGACAGAGGGGGAGGTGCGTGGGAGGGAGGAGGGGGGAATGTGGGTCGGGGTAAAGGTTGTGCAGTGCGATGCAAGGTAGTGCAGTGCGATGCAAGGTAGTGCAGTGCGATGGAAGGTAGAGGGTCCTCCTAGCTGCCTGCAATGTTGGTTGCGATTGAAATGTTAAGTGGGAGGGGTGGAAGGAAGGAGGGCGGGGGAGAGGCTGGTGTGAGAGTGAAGTCAAGGCATGAGAGAAAGCATGTGAGGGCGATCACACGCATCTCTGCTTCCCCTCCTTCCTCCCCCCTCCTTTTCTCCTCCCTTCACTTCCTCCGCCCATGCTGCCCTCCTCCCCCTCTTCCTCCCCCATGCCCTCCTCCCCCTCTCCCCCCCCCCGTGCCCTCCTCTCCCTGCAGCTCGCGGCCATAAGGGCTCTCGTGAAGGGCACAGAAATCGACATTGCGTCGCTATCGACGTCAGCCTCCCATGCTGACATCATCAAGGTACGTGCTGATGTCACCACGGTTTGTGCTGATATCATCATTGTGTGTGCTGATGTCATAGTGTGCGTGACTTGCATTAGCATAGTGGCTGGCCTTGCATACACATGTGGCTCACTCCAGTTCCTCTCACCCTGCTCGCATCCTCCCTCCCTGCTCGCATCCTCTCTCCCTGCTCGCATCCTCCCTCCCTGCTCGCATCCTCTCTCCCTGCTCGCATCCTCTCTCCCATTCCGACCCCATCCTCGCAGCATCTTTCCACACCTCTCTCTGCGCCATGCGGATTCGCCCTGCCCTCCGCCCTTCCCCCCACCGCCTTCCCACCTTCCCATCCCTGACCCTTCTTTCACCCCCCAATTTCCCTGGCCCCCCCCAACCCAATCCCTCGCAGCACGTCAACATCCCGGCCTGTGTGGTCTCTCCCCCCCCGTCCTTGCCCCTCCCCCTCCTCACTGCTCCCTCCCGTCAACTCCCCCCCGCCCCTGCCCGCTCTCAGCACTTCAAGATCGCGGCCCCTGAGATGGCCGTGTGGCGGCTTGAAGATGCGATAGTGGCCAGAATAGGGGTCAGGGACAGCTGGTGATGCTGCTGGGCCGGGTGATGCTGCTGGGCCAGGTGGTGCTGCTGGGCCGGGTGATGCTGCTGGGGCGGGTGGTGCTGCTGGGGTGGGTGATGCTGCTGGGGCGGGTGGTGCTGCTGGGGTGGGTGATGCTGCTGGGGCGGGTGGTGCTGCTGGGGTGGGTGGTGCTGCGGGGGCGGGTGGTGCTGCTGCAGAGGGGGATAGGGAACTGATGATATGGCGGGTGATGGGGCACAGGGGTTGGCTGGTGGCTCATGCTGGCGATGGTGGCAGCTGGTGATGGTGGCAGCTGGTGATGGTGGCAGCTGGTGATGGTGGCAGCTGGTGATGGTGGCAGCTGCTGATGGTGGCAGCTGGCGATGGTGGCAGCTAGCGATGGTGGCAAGGGCAACTGGCGGTGGGGAGGAGCATGGGTGCTGGCGATGCGCGGCCAGGGATGTGTGTGAGGCTGCAGTGGAGCGAACGACACAACAGCAATGCGCAGGGGAGCAGATGGTGACAGACAGCACGGACTGGGAAATGGAGGCAGCTATGGGAGTGGTGCAGGGAGGAGCGTCTTCCCTCACTGTTGCAGAGGCACGCCCTATCTGCATTCATCTGCACGACAGGGGAGAGCTGCACCCAGGCGTCGTGTGCAGCACGAGCGCAGTGTTCGATTGCTGACTGAGGTAGTATGACCGCGCGCCACTACAAGCTTGCACACTCCGTGCATGTGTGCTTGACGACCCGTGCATGGAGGGGCACGTACCGGTATATCGGGGGGTTCATGGTTGTACCGGTAAAAGAGTACACTGCCGAAAGCAATGGGGTTTGTCACTGGCTTGAAGGCTTAGCTTGTGTGGAATGCAGTGTGTGTGATTCAATCATTGGGGTTAGCTCTAGGGCTCCATCCGGAGGGCCTGAGATTGATTGATGCACTTGAGTTGTACAAACGTGCAAGCACCATGGAAGACTGCACTGCACTGCACGAGCATGCCAACAAAATGCCACTCAGCTCCTACAAGCTCAGATACAGCAAGCTCCCCAGAACGTGTGCAGTTAGCACACGGCGCAAGGGCGGTGATGGCACATGGCAGTGGGCACAGGGAGCAGCACATGGTGCCTGGCGGACTGGATGCCACGTGCTGTGATGGGATGGGATGAGATGAGATGAGAGGCTGCCCCACCCCGCACCCATGCCTACAACAAAGGAATCACGGCCTTGCACCCCACCGACCAGCGCCACGCACACACTCCGACCCCATGCCATTCGACCGCTGCCCTCTTCTGCTCCCCTCCCCACTTCCCGTCACTCCATTCGCTGCCTTGATCCTCCTGCGCTCCCCCCCCTCTACTGCTTGCTCCTCATCTGCTCTCTCCGCGCCTTCCCTGGCCGTTGCGCCTTCCCCCCTCTCGCCCCCCCTCTAGCCCCCCCTCTCGCCCCGCCTCTCCCCCCTCCCCGGAACCCTCCCCTCCCCCCGCGCGCGCCATCCTCGTCCCCGAACCCCCCGAAGGCGCTGAAGTCGTTGGTGGAGTCGGCGTCGTTCTGCTTCTTCAGCCGCTTCCGCCCGCCGAACCCATACTTCGCATCCCGCTGCTTCCGCTTCTCAATCGATCCCCTCCCCCCCCCTCTCCCCCCGCGCGCACCAGCCCCCCGCTTTTCCCGCGCGAACCCACCCCCCAGCGCCTCATCCAGCTCCACGGGAAAGTCCGCTCCGCCCGGCACCGTCCCCCCGTCCTGGAAGTTGCTCTGCTGGCGCAGCTTGCGCCAGCGCTCGACGGCCTGCACCGAGTCCTTCTTCTCCTTCTCGCGCTCCTTCTTCCGCTCCGCCTGCACCAGCTTCGCGTACTTCTTCCCCGCGCGCGCCTTCTTGCGCTCTTCCGCGCCCTCCATCTCCTTCTGCTGTGCCAGCAGCCGCGCGCGGATGCGCTCCATGTGCGCGTCGCTCTTCACCATCTCCGCGTAGTAGTCCGCGGGCCGCAGCAGCGCCACCGCTGCTGGGGCTGGCTTCCGCCCCTCTTCCCCCTCCTCCCCGCCCGCGGCGGCAGCTCCACCGGCGGCGGCGGCGGCGGCTTCCTCCTGGAGCCGCGTGAGCGCGGCTTTCGCGCCCGCGGCGGCCTGCGAGTAAAACGCGGCTTCGCGCACCAAATCGTCCGCCGCATCCACCGCCTCCACGCCGCCGGCGGCGCCGCCATCCGGGCCGGCATCCGCGGGGCCAGCATGGGCGTCGTCCATGATGATGACGGCCAGCGACTCCATCCACGGCCGCTTGCCCGCCCACTCGAACGCGTCGAGCTTGGCGCGCAGCCCGGGCGCGTCGTTGATCGCGTTGGGCCTCGCATGCCCGCCGAACAACGCCGCCGCCTCGCCCTCGTCGTCGTCGTCGCCGCCTTCTTCTTCCTCCTCCTCCTCTCCGTCCTCTCCCTCGTCGTCCTCTTCCTGGTCGTCGTCGAACTCCTCTGCTTGGGCTACTACATCGTCTTCCTCCCTTGCTAGGTTATCTTCCACCGCTTGTGATTTGACGTCAGCCATCTTCGCTTCTGCTGAGCGCGTCGAAGGTCAATGGACGGAAACCCTAGGCAGCGAAGCTATTTCGCGGAGCGGACTAAGGTGGAGATGGAGGGGATAAAGTTGGGGGGTTGGGGTGTAAGGAGGGGATAACGAGGGGATTTTGAGCCAGAGCAAAGATTTTGCGCTGGGGGAAAGTGTGCTTTGCCCTGTTTTTTTACGACACCCGTTACTAGAAGCTGCGTTTCAGTCGGCGTCCGCAATTTAAAGATTTATTTCGTGTCCGCAACAAATACACTGCTCCTCCATCCTGGTGTGGATCTCGTCGCTGCGCTTCTCCCTGCAGCTTTCGCTCGGTTCCACTTGGATCTGCGCTTTCACTGCGTTCCCTTCAGTCTTCTCGAATTCCTCAATCTCCACTTCCTCAGATCGCTCTTGCTCTGCTCGCTTCGCACCTCTGTAGTGTCAGCCCAATACTGGCCTGTACGGATCACCCGTGCGTTCATTTCTTACGCCTAACGGTTTATCCGCCGCTCCGTGCGATTCGGGCAGACGGAGGAATAATTACTTCCTATCATCTCCGGCGACTCGCAGCTGCAGACTCACTGGTCGCGTCGCCACGCACTTGAATCTATCGCCGGCCAGCCACGATGCAGGCCCCAGTGCTCGTTCTAAGTACGTATGGCAGTTCTCTCCTGTAGACTGTCGTGTCAGTCCGCATCGCCGGGCGCGCGATCGACACGGTTAGTTGCTCGAGCTGGCCGCGCGAACTCAGCGCCTCGAGATTTCGCTGAGCCAGACGCCGCTACTCGCAGATGTGCCTCTTCACTGTCGTTCCAGGGAGTCGGTTTCAGCTCCGTCGTAGATGCAGCTGGTTTACTCGTCTTCGTTGAATGAGACCGCCGCCGTCTCGAAAGTCAGCAGCGGCGCCGGGACCTAAGCCCGATCTCGACAGTGCGGCTCCCGCCGATCCTCCTTCGCTGAGAGCTCGTTTCCTATGAATTCGCGAGATCCGATGACTAGATCCGTGTGTCCGTGTGTCCGCCCGCTTATCCGAGAAGCCCTATCCCGTTCCGCCGTGCCGTGCGTATCTGCGGCTAGATACGTTAAAGATGGATCTCACAGCCGTCGATCCGCACAGCCACCTGGTTTCGTATGGCCTTCCGCGAGTGTCGCAAGTGCGATCTTTCTCCTTCCGCGGTGGAGCAGCGGGACCAAAGGAAGGGGACCGCAAGTGCACGAGGGAGCCGATTGGAGAGCACAGCCGGCGATGGTGGCTGCAGACCCCTCTGCCCCTCTGCCCCTCGTCACCTGCTCTTCTCCATTCGCAATTCCCCGCTGCATTGCCTCTCAGCCTATCCGTACATCATCTCTAAGCATCCATCCGTGCGTTACCCCTCCCCCCCTCCCCTCCCCCCCCCGCGTTTCTCCCTTTGCCCATCCCCATGGCAGATGCGAACACGAAGCGCGAGTCAGGGCGCAAGGCGCAGCTGGGCAACATCGCAGCGGCCAAGGTGAGGCGCGAGGCTGGGGGGTTTGGCTTTGGAGTGCGAGGAGGAAATGACGCTGAGTTGAAACCTAGGGGTTGTTAGGCAGCGAGCTTCGGAATGTCGTGGATTTTGAGAATGATCAGAAGCCCCCTGCGGAATGGCACAGCACGGTGATGAGAAGCGGTGGGTAGCGGCGGCCTTTCCTGACCTCTTGGCACTTTGAATTAGCTCACGGGCGGAGTGACGGCTTCGCCGTAGCGACGCGGGTCCAGGACGTACGTGGCGTGGAGGCGCCCTTAGATGGGCGGAAGCAAGGGGCGTGGGCGGGCCGATAGTGGACTGTGGACGAGCGGAACGACGGCGCGTGGTTATGGCGTGGCGACGAGACGCAGAGTGCCGGCGGATCAAGAACAGTCGCAACCTGTCGCGCGACGTCGCATAGAAGCGCAGCGCGCACTCCGTCAGACGTTGAACTCAGACGCGCTCCGAGGCGTCTTTGACGACGCAGCATTCCGACGTCGACGGCATGTCGATTGGTCGCCGCTGCTCCTCGCTGGTCCCTGCTCTCGTCTCCCCCTCCCACCTCCGCGCCCTTCACTCCCGCTCCCCCTTCTCCTCTGCTCCTACGCCGACTCCCGTCCCTCTCCCTCTTCTCCCCCTCCTCCTCTTCTCCCCCTCCTCCTCTTCTCCCCCTCCTCCTCTTCTCCCCCTCTTTTCCTCCTGTCCTCGGCGTTCTCGGCTCGCCCCTCGCCTCCTCGCTCGCAGGCCGTGGCGGACATCATCCGCACCACACTGGGCCCGCGCTCCATGCTCAAGATGCTGCTCGACGCCACAGGAGGTGAGCCGCGGTTAGAAGCACTTGAAGACGTGCAAGTCAGGCCGCAGATTACCCTCGGGTTTGCCGCGCATTCACAATCAATGAGGCGCGGCATCGCGGCCCATGCCTCCCATCCCGTGCAGGCATCGTGCTCACCAACGACGGCAACGCCATCTTGAGAGAAATCGACGTCACCCATCCTGCCGCCAAGGTGAGACGCGTGTGGATGCTCTGGCCAAGGGGCCCAGTAGAGCCTCTCCAACAGCACGAAAGTTTCTGGGAGATTTGAGACAGGGAAGAGAGGGCTTGAGGTTCGGGACTGTTTTGAATGGCTCTGGTCCCGCGAGGAAGGCGGGAAGCACACGCGCTTGTGCCGTAGCGCGCACCCATGGCAGCCGCCTCGCCACGCACTTCTACCTCACTGGGTGCGCGATGTTAAACCTCCTCGTTGCGTGGTTTACTGGGTGCTGTTTGACTTGCCATTGCACTGCTCTCTCCTTTGGCGTGTGTGCTGTTGGCTATGCGTCACTGATGCCATTGCGATTGTGTGTTCCTCTGGCACGTGCCTGTGCGTGCATGGGGCCATGCCATGGCGGCGGCGTGCAGTCCATGATCGAGCTCAGCCGCACGCAGGACGAGGAGGTGGGCGACGGCACCACGTCCGTCATCATCCTCGGTGGGTTCCGTCTCAACCCAACCACGCCTCGCTGCTCTCTCCCACTGCCTGCTTCTGCTCTCTCTCCTCCCTTTCTCGTCTTGCTGCTTCCTGCCCTTCCTGGTTCTAGCCACTCAACCGTATGCTCAAGGCCTCAACGCCCACCTTATTCACATCCCGCTTTTCACTGTGCACTGCTTGCCACGTGTCACCACTGTGTGCTGCCAGCTGGAGAGATGCTCCACGTAGCAGAGCCATTCCTGGAGAAGGGCTTTCACCCGACCGTCATCTGCAGAGGTGCGAAGGTCGCTTGTGCCAAGTGCGCTCTGGCTAGGGTTGACGTTGGCTGTTGAGTCGACTCAAATGTCGTTTGTGCCATGTGTGCTCTGGCTAGGGTTGAGGTTTTTGTTCCCCTCCCTCTGCCCTCCATGGGTGGGCGTGGCTATTCCCCTGTGCTTGCTTTCCCATGCGTCTGCTGTTTCCTTCCGCCCCCTCCTCTCTCTCCGCGCTCTCTCCCCCCTTGCAGCGTACACCAAGGCACTGGACGACGCCATTGCAGTGATTGACAAAATCGCATTCAAGATCGACGTCAACGACAGTGAGACCCCCGCCCCGCCTCATCGCACCTGCACACCTGAACAAAATTGTGGCGGGCAGGGCCATGGAAGGCCCGATGATCATCAAATGGCAACCTCCGGTTGACGTGCAATGCATGTGCATCTCTCGTTTTCTGGATTGCTTTCTCCCTCACTCTTGCATTCATCTCGCGTGCCCGTGGCTCCTCAACCCTCAACCTTCAACCTTCAACCCTCAACCCTCAACCCAGCACCCTGCACCCGCCACCCTCGACCCTCAACCCCCAACTTCCAACCTTCGACCCGAAACCTTCAACCAACCTTCAACCCTAAACCTTCAACCTTTCAACCCTCAACTCTCAACCCTGACCCAGCACCTACCACCCTCAACCCTCAACCCCCAACCCCCTACCCCCAACCTTCAACCTTCAACCGTGAACCCGCACCCTCAACCGCGCCCTCAACCGCACCCTCAACTCCGAACCCTCACCCCTCACCTCTCACCCCTGCGCCCTGCGCCCTGCCCCCTGCGACCCAGGGAAGCAGATGCTCAACATCCTGCAGAGCTGCATCGGCACCAAGTTCACCACGAGATTCGGCTCGCTCATGGCGGTGCGCACCCCTTCCCTCGTAGACTCAGCCCCCTCCGCCGTGCTCATGTGCTCATGTGCTCATGTGCTCATGTGCTCATGCGCTCATGTGCTCATGTGCTCATGTGCTCATGTGCTCATGTGCTCATGTGCTCATGTGCTCACCTCACGCACGTTCACTGGCAACTCAAGTTCACCTTGTCATCCTACTAGCCCTACCTAGGCATAGTGGTACTCACTCCCGTTCCTCATCCGCACCTTCCCTCTTTCTCTCCCTCCGTGCCTCCCTTCCAACCCCCCCCCCCCCCCCCACACCCCCCTCTTCAGGAGCTGGCCCTAGACGCGGTGACGACTGTAGCGGTGGACGTGGCGGGGCGCAAGGAGATCGACATCAAGCAGTACGCCAAGGTGGAGAAGGTGCCGGGCGGGCGGATAGAGGACAGTGCGGTGCTGCGCGGTGTGATGTTCAACAAGGACGTGGTGACTCCGGGCAAGATGCGGCGCCGCATCGAGAACCCGCGAGTCATTCTGCTGGACTCGCCGCTGGAGTACAAGAAGGGCGAGAACCAGACGAACGTGGAGCTGCTCAAGGAGGAGGACTGGTATGTGAAGGGGAAAGGGTGGAGGGGGGGGGAGCGGGGGAAAGAGGGAGTTGAGTGGGGGGTTAAGGGCCGTGCTGCTGGAATCGCCTTTGGAGTACCAGAAAGGGGGAGAACCAGACAAGCGTGGAGCTCTCGAAGGAGGAGGACTGGTGAGTCAGTGGGAAAGAGAGAAGGGTTTGAGGGTGGTAAGGGGGAGGGAAGCGTCTGCCGGAGCACAAGGAGGTACCAGAATGGAGGGTGGTATATTCGACAACCTACGCCTCTGCCTCTGCCTCTGCCTCTTCCTCTGCCTGTGCCTGTGCCCATGCCTGTGCCCATGCCCGTGCACGTGCCCGTGCCCGTGCCCGTGCCCGTGCCCGTGCCCGTGCCTGTGCCCGTGTCTGTCGCTGCATTGCAGCGCTCACCACCGCTCTGCCTCTGCTCATTCATGCTCTGCCTCCTCTGCCTCCTCTGCCTCCTCTGCCTCATCTGCCTCATCTGTCTACGCCTGTTGCTGTGGCCTCCTCGCTGTGCTCAACCCGTCACTGCCGTTGTCTGTCGTGTCTGCTCTGTGGGTATTGCGGCGTGCAGGGAGCAACTACTGAAGATGGAGGAGGAGTACATAGCTGGCTTGTGTCGCCACATCGCGGCGTTCAAGCCCGACCTCGTCATCACAGAGAAGGGCCTCAGCGACCTCGCTGCTCACTACCTGTCTAAGTGAGTGCAGCCTTATGAGGTGAATCAAGGCACACATAGGTGCGTTCAAGCCTGGGTCTTTATTGAGAAGGGGCTCAGCGCCCTCACCGCTCACTACCTCTGCAAGTGAGCTTGCCGTGACACTTTGTGCCAACCGGCTCTCCACGTGAGTGGTGTACGGCGCGCCTTGGACCGTGCGGTGCACCTCATGAACCAAGTGGAGGAGGTGCACGACAGTCACGGCTTTTGTGCTGCTTTGACGCCCATAGATGTGCTGCCCAAGCTTTGTCGTCGCCTCCACTTCCTCCTCCTCGTCATCGTCCTAAGCATGCTGTGAGCGCGCATACCAGATCCGCGCATTTCGTCCACCGAAAAACGAGATTCGCGCATTTCGGCGGGCGAAATGCCAGATCCGCGCATTTCGGTCGTATTTTTCCCAAAATTCTAAAAGTTTGCCTGAAGAAAACGACCATGTTTTTGCACTACCCCCGAAATGACACTTCGGACCGTCTTTTATTGTATTATACGGCTGGAAACTTTTGTACTGTACCATACAGTAAAATTTTAAAAACAAACGCCGTTTGATTGCACCTTGCAGGAGACGGGGGTGTGGGCGGAGGTGTTTGAAGCCCCCCCTCGTCTTTTCCCCCCTCCACCCCGCCGCGCTCACTGACTCCTCTTTGCCAGGGCCGGCATTTCCGCCATTCGTCGGGTGCACAAGGGCAAGACAGGCAACGACCGCATAGCAAGAGCAGTGAGCGCCACCATAGTGAACCAAGTGGAGGAGCTCCAGGAGAGCGACGTGGGGGCAGGCGCGGGGCTGTTTGAAGCCTCATCCATCCTCCTCCCCACCTCTACCCCGTCCCTCCAGCCCTGAGTCGCCTGATCAGTGCAGTAAGCGTCTCAACTCTTCCCGTCCGCCCCTTGTTGTCCTCATCTCAACCAGGGCCGGCATCTCTGCAATCAGGCGCCTCCGTAAGACGGACAACAACCGTATCGCACGTGCAGTGGGCGCCACCATCGTGAACCGTGTGGAGGAGCTGCAGGAGAGCGACGTGGGGACGGGCGCGGGGCTGTTTGAGGTGCGCAAGATCGGCGACGAGTTCTTCGCGTTCCTGGTGGAGTGCAAAGAGCCCAAGGCGTGCACCGTGCTGCTCAGGGGCGCCAGCAAGGACATCCTCAACGAGATGGAGAGGAACCTGCAGGTGAGGGGGGCGGGGGGGAACTTGTTGCCGGGTGGGAGAACTTTGTTGAAGGGTGGGGGTACGGTGCCGTAGTCGTGGAGTGCAAAGAGCCCAAGGGCGTGCATGTTGCGGCCGAGGGGGTCAAGCTAGGACATTCCGAACGACATGGAGAGAAACCTGCAGGCGAGCACAGGTAAATGGGGGGAGAGAGGACAAGGGAATACAGGTGCAAGGGAGGTACATTCCTTCTCCTGCCCTTCCTTCTGCCTTTCCTTCTGCCTTTCCTTCTGCCTTTCCTTCTGCCTTTCCTTCTGCCTTTCCTTCTGCCTTTCCTTCTGCCTTTCCTTCTGCCTTTCCTTCTGCCTTTCCTTCCGCCTTTCCTTCTGCCTTTCCTTCTGCCTTTCCTTCTGCCTTTCCTTCTGCCTTTCCGTCTGCCTTTCCTTCTGCCGGTGTGCTTTCCTCAGTACATGTGAGCAATGGGATGCAAGGAGCAATGGGATGCAGCACCCACGGCAGGTGCTGGGAGGGAGGGATGGCGGTTGTCTTTCTCGTCCGATTTTCCCTCTTCTTCGTGGCTCTCGCCTTTACTGCGAGCAGGACGCCATGGGCGTGGCTCACAACGTGGCGATCAACCCGCGGCTGGTTCCCGGATTCGCTAGAGACTGGCGATGTGGACGATCCATGATTGCTGCCCTTGTCTTTGCCGCTCTCCTTGTTCGAGTGCAGGATGCCATGGGTGTGGCACGCAACGTGGTGGTGGACCCGCGGCTGGTGCCGGGAGGAGGAGCGGTGGAGATGACAGTGTCGGCCGCATTGAAGGACAAAGCCACCAGCATCCAGGGCATTGAGCAGGTGGGTGAACAGTGTCGGGCATTGAGCAGGTGGGTGAACAGTCCGCAGGAAACCTAACGAGGGGTTATACATCAGATCAGAAGCTACGTTATTCTTCTCCCTCCCCCCTCTTCCTCCCAATTCGTTCCTCCCGCTTTCCCTCCCAGTCCCCCACAATCCCTCTCAGTCCCTCACAGTCCCTCCCAGCCCCCCACAATCCCTCCCAGCCCCCCACAATCCCTCCCAGTGCCCCACAATCTCACTCTCCCCACCCTCCCGTTCATCGCGCCCTCCCCGCTTCCCCCCCTGCGCCAGTGGCCGTACCGGGCAGTGGCGTCAGCCTTTGAGGTCATCCCGCGCACGCTCGCTCAGAACTGCGGAGTGAGCGTCATCCGCACCGTCACAGCGCTGCAGGCCAAGGTGAGAGTCAGTGCGCTGCAGGCCAGGGTGAGAGTCAGTGCGCTGCAGGCCAGGGTGAGAGTCAGTGCGCTGCAGGCCAGGGTGAGAGTCAGTGCGCTGCAGGCCAGGGTGAGAGTCAGTGCGCTGCAGGCCAGGGTGAGAGTAAGTGCGCTGCAGGCCAGGGTGAGAGTCAGTGCGCTGCAGGCCAGGGTGAGAGTCAGTGCGCTGCAGGCCAGGGTGAGAGTCAGTGCGCTGCAGGCCAGGGTGAGAGTCAGTGCGCTGCAGGCCAGGGTGAGAGTCAGTGCGCTGCAGGCCAGGGTGAGAGTCAGTGCGCTGCAGGCCAGGGTGAGAGTCAGTGCGCTGCAGGCCAGGGTGAGAGTCAGTGCGCTGCAGGCCAGGGTGAGAGTCAGTGCGCTGCAGGCCAGGGTGAGAGTCAGTGCGCTGCAGGCCAGGGTGAGAGTCAGTGCGCTGCAGGCCAGGGTGAGAGTCAGTGCGCTGCAGGCCAGGGTGAGAGTCAGTGCGCTGCAGGCCAGGGTGAGAGTCAGTGCGCTGCAGGCCAGGGTGAGAGTCAGTGCGCTGCAGGCCAGGGTGAGCGCCATTGGCACATAGATTTTTGAAAGACCCAAATGAGAGGCCAAGGTGAGCTCTGTGACGGATCAGTTGTGAGACTGGTACAATCATTGCCCCTGCCACCCCCTGCCCACTACTGCCCACCACAGTCTTGATTCTTTCTGGCCTCCACCACTTGTACTCCACTATTCTGAACATCTCCCTTTTTGTGTCTCCCACCTCTCCTCTCTCCAATCTCCTATCTCTCTCGCCTCTTTTCTCCCCCTTCTCTAACCACCTCACCTCTCCATGTCCCACCATTCGCCCCTCCTCCTTCTCCCATCCCCCACAGCACGCCATTTCCGCCAACACGTCCATAGGGATCGATGGTGACACGGGCGCTCTCACTGACATGAAGGAGCTGGGGGTGAGCGCTGGGGGCTGAGGGTGGGGGTGAGCGCTGGGGGCTGAGGGTGGGGCTGATGGGGTGAGCGCTGGGGGCTGAGGGTGGGGGTGAGCGCTGGGGGCTGAGGGTGGGGGTGAGCGCTGGGGGCTGAGGGTGGGGGTGAGCGCTGGGCTGAGGGTGGGGGTGAGCGCTGGGGGCTGAGGGTGGGGTGAGCGCTGGGGGCTGAGGGTGGGGGTGAGCGCTGGGGCCTGAGGGTGGGGGTGAGCGCTGGGGCTGAGGGTGGGGGTGAGCGCTGGGGGCTGAGGGTGGGGGTGAGCGCTGGGGGCTGAGTGAGGGGCTGAGGGTGGGGGTGAGCGCTGGGGGCTGAGGGTGGGGGTGAGCGCTGGGGGCTGAGGGTGGGGGTGAGCGCTGGGGGCTGAGGGTGGGGGTGAGCGCTGGGGGCTGAGGGTGGGGGTGAGCGCTGGGGGCTGAGGGTGGGGGTGAGCGCTGGGGGCTGAGGGTGGGGGTGAGCGCTGGGGGCTGAGGGTGGGGGTGAGCGCTGGGGGCTGAGGGTGGGGGTGAGCGCTGGGGGCTGAGGGTGGGGGTGAGCGCTGGGGGCTGAGGGTGGGGGTGAGCGCTGGGGGCTGAGGGTGGGGGTGAGCGCTGGGGGCTGAGGGTGGGGGTGAGCGCTGGGGGCTGAGGGTGGGGGTGAGCGCTGGGGGCTGAGGGTGGGGGTGAGCGCTGGGGGCTGAGGGTGGGGGTGAGCGCTGGGGGCTGAGGGTGGGGGTGAGCGCTGGGGCCTGAGGGTGGGGGTGAGCGCTGGGGGCTGAGGTTGGGGGTGAGCGCTGGGGGCTGAGGGTGGGGGTGAGCGCTGGGGCCTGAGGGTGGGGGTGAGCGCTGGGGGCTGAGGGTGGGGGTGAGCGCTGGGGGCTGAGGGTGGGGGTGAGCGCTGGGGGCTGAGGGTGGGGGTGAGCGCTGGGGGCTGAGGGTGGGGGTGAGCGCTGGGGGCTGAGGGTGGGGGTGAGCGCTGGGGGCTGAGGGTGGGGGTGAGCGCTGGGGGCTGAGGGTGGGGGTGAGCGCTGGGGCCTGAGGGTGGGGGTGAGCGCTGGGGGCTGAGGTTGGGGGTGAGCGCTGGGGGCTGAGGGTGGGGGTGAGCGCTGGGGGCTGAGGGTGGGGGTGAGCGCTGGGGGCTGAGGGTGGGGGTGAGCGCTGGGGGCTGAGGGTGGGGGTGAGCGCTGGGGGCTGAGGGTGGGGGTGAGCGCTGGGGGCTGAGGGTGGGGGTGAGCGCTGGGGGCTGAGGGTGGGGGTGAGCGCTGGGGGCTGAGGGTGGGGGTGAGCGCTGGGGGCTGAGGGTGGGGGTGAGCGCTGGGGGCTGAGGGTGGGGGTGAGCGCTGGGGCCTGGGGGTGGGGGTGAGCACTGGGGGCTGGGGGTGGGGGTGAGTGCTGCTCGCTTGGGCTGGGGGTGAGTGCTGCTGGCTTGGGGTTGGACCGTATGGTCGCAGAAGTAGTCAGGAAGGAGGTGAACAGTGGTGAGGAGAGGGGTCAGAGTGGGGGGATGGTTTAGGAATGGGGGAGGGATAAGGAGTGGGGTAGGGGGTGGGGAGGAGAGTAGTGAGCGGGGAGGTGGATAAGAAATGGGGAGGGGTAGGGTAGGGAGTGGGGAGAGGATTTATCTGACATGGATGCGGTATGAGAGTGAGAGTGCAGAGGACAAGACTGTGCACATAGGGAGGATGTCACTAAGGGAGGCTTGGTGCAAGGGAATGGTGCAAGTGAGCGCATGTTCTCTGCACATGTGCTCTGCACGTTTTCCACTCCCAATGACCATCGCGCCTGCCTTATCTCACAGTGTGCTGCCAGGTGTGGAAGCTGTACACTGTGCAAGGCCCACACCGTGTGAATAGCTACTAAGGCGGCGTGGATGTTGGTGCATGCTACTGGTGGCAGTGATTCTGTTTCCCGTCTCCTTGCATCCACCTGCCAGGTGTGGGAGCCGTATGCAGTGAAGGTGCAGACGGTGAAGACGGCCATCGAGGCGGCGTGCATGCTGCTGCGCATCGACGACATTGTGAGCGGGCTCAAGAAGAAGCAGGCGGGCGGCGGGCCAGGCGGCAAGCCACAGATTGACACGGGGGATGACGTCGACTCGGAGCAGATGCTGGCGGAGTGAGGGGCGCTGGTCCGATACGCGAAGAGGGCGAGGGATGGGGGGATGGAGGTGGGGAGTGGGAAGCCTTGGGGTGGGAAATGGGATACCAGGGGGCAAGCCACGGATTGAGACTGGGGATGACGTCGACGACGGGTAGGGGAAGAGGGACGAGGGGATGGAGGGGGGGAGTGGGAGATGGACTGGAAGGCCAAGGGGGCAGCGGCAGGCCCACAAACTGGGGATGATATTGGCAAGCCACAGGTGGCGGAGTGAGGGGAAAGACAGTGTGTTGCGGTGGTGTCCAGGGGCATAACAGCACAGCACATGTAATTGCTGCGATTCAAATCATCGTTTTGCTCGAACTTCTATTTAGCAAATGCACACAGCACGAGCACAGGCACGTGCTGCCACAGATGCAGCATCATATGGGTCCACCTATTTGCTGAAGTTAACAGATGCAACTAACTGTCGAGAAGAAAACTGATCAAAGTGTTGAATAGGGAGAGAACAAGGGTATATACCTAAGAGTGTTGTACCCTCTAAAAGGTGACCCTATACAGTTTATACAAATATGAGTTATACATATATTTGACATACCCCCTAGACTGCATAGGGGCAAATCCTGAACAAGCAGCTCAGGGCGGCACTACTAGTCCAGCCATTGAGACAAGGGTCTAAAGACCAGTCAAAAGGAGTACAGGCAAGACAAGAACAAGACCAGGGCGGCACTACTAGTCCAGCCACTGGGGGAGGACACAAGTCCAGTCTGAGTACATATATAGATATATATAGGACAGTACAAAGTCAAGGTCCTAGCAAGTGAGGCTACAGGAACTAGACCGAGCTGTACACAGTGCCGCTGATGATCTTTAGGTGCAAGCGCCTTCGTAAAGATATCAGCTGTGTTGGCACCAGAGGCCAAGTGAACTACGCAGGCCTAGCGGCGCTGCTGTAGCTCGCGCAGGAGGAAGTACCGCAGCTGGATGTGCTTCGCTCTGCCCTCAAGTCGAGGTTCCTGACACAGGAGTATCATGGCCCTATTGTCAGCGTACAGGACTGGGGCAGAGCTAGGCCGCTCACCTAAGTCTGTGAGCTAGAAGGTCAGCCAGCGGAGCTCCTGTGCTGCCATGTTACCAGCGTAGATCTCAGCCTCACAGCTCGACTGAGCAACAGACGACGAGCGAGTGGATCTCCAAGAGATAGCACCCGAACCAAGGCTAAAACAGTAGCCCTGCGACAACCTGAGCGTCTCAGAGTCGTCTGCCCAAGAAGCATCTGTGTGCCCAGTGAGGACCACTGGTCTGCGTCCTCCTAACACTAACCCCATGCCTGATGTACTTGCTATATATCGCAAAACCCTCTTAGCGGCCGACCAGTGCTGTGGTCGGTGTCTGCCAGTGGCCACAAAGCGAGCCAGGATGCTGAGAGGGTGTGCGAGATTTGGGCGAGTGCAGGTCATCAGGTACATGAGGCAACCCACCAGCTCTGCGTAGGGGCCGCTGGGCTCTACTGGCTCCTCAGGAACACGAGCGGAAAGCCCGTGGTCTATACAGGTAGAGGTGTGGGCTGTGCAGAGGAGAACTGAAGACCGAACCTCTGAAGGACCTGACGCACCAAGTGTGACTGGGTCAGAGTTATGGTGCGTGCTGCTCTGTCCCTAGAGATCTGCAGGCCAAGATAGCGACGCAGCTCTCCAAGGTCAGTGCAGGTGTGTCTCTTCAGCAGCTCAGTCTTCACAGAGGCCAGTGCGTCCCTGTCAGGAGTAGCGAAGACCAGGTCGTCTACGTAGACAAGGATGTAGAACGGAGTCTGGTCGGAACGCACAAACAGTGAAGGGTCAGCAGAGGACGGAAAGAACTGCAGGTCTGCTAACGTTGCACGTAGCGTGTCGTGCCACTCGCGGGGAGCCTGACGCAGGCCGTAGACCGGGCGCCTGAGAAGCCACTGGGTCCCAGGAGGGAAGGTGCCAGTGAAGCCCTGTGGTCGGCGCAGGTAGACCTGCTCGTGTAGGCTGCCCTGAAGAAAGGCAGTAGAGAAGTTGAGGGAGTGAAGCTCGTAGTCACGCTGTGCTGCTACGTGTAGCAGCGCCCGAAGAGTGGTCATCTTCGGGGTCGGGGCGAAGGTCTGGAAGAAGTCAACCCCCTCGCGCTGACTGAAACCTCTGGCCACGTAGCGCGCCTTGAAGACAGGCGGCTCTCCAGGGGGGCGCTTCACCTTGAAGAGCCACCGACCATCGAGTACGTTCAACCCAGGCGGGGGAACTGCGTCGACGTAAGTGCCGGTGGACCTCCAAGATGCCATCTCCTGCTCCATGGCAGCTATCCACTGAGAGGCCCAAGGTCCCGAGGTGGCCTCAGCGTAGGTGCGAGGGGTCAGGATGTCGAAGGCGTCTGGGTCACCCTCAGGGACTAACAGCATGGAGCAGAGATGGGGAGCAGCCTCGGAAAGGAAAGCAAGCTCGTACTGCCTGTCCTCTAGGACGTCACTGCCAAGGGCAGGAGCACCCCTGACAGACGGAGGACGGGCAGGGTTAGAGACCAGAGCGGTAGCGTAGTCAAGGCGGCGGGTAGAGGCGAAGTCAGCGACAGCAACGACAAGCGCGTCAAGGCGCGAGATAGGAACAGAAGGGTCGGTAACAAGAGAGGCAAGGACCCGAGGGACAAGGGGACGAGCAGCACGGAGGTAGTCAGAGTACGGAGGAGGTGCAACAGCAAGGGACGAGGGAGGAGGGGACGGGAGGAGGGGAGGACGAGACGAGTGGGAACGGAGCAACATAGGGTGGGAGCGCACCACAGGAGAGACGGGACGAGCACGGGAGGGACGGCGAGCCCAAACGTGAGACGGAGGTGTAGGGTCAGGGGACAGCGGAGGAGACACAGAAGGGGAACGAGGAGGAAGACGGGCCGGAGACGAGTCTGGCGGCGGGAACACAGGACTGTCGACAGGAAGGTCAGCAGGCGGTGGGGGAGACACCGTCGCGCGGTCCGGGGAGGGAAGGCCAAGCAGGCGGAGAGCGGAGACCGGCGGCGACGGCTGCTGCGGCGGCGACGACGGCTGCTGCGGCGGCGACGACGGTTGGGCCAGAACTCTCGGACCAGCAGAGGCAGAACGACCGTCGGCAGAACACTCAACAGCAGCACCCCCAGAACCAACACCCCCAGAGCGAGAACCCCCTCCAACACCAGCGGCACCCCCAGAAACCTCAGGACGAACACCCTCCTCCTCACCAGCACCCCTAGGGGCCAAGAGCGGCAGCGGCAGTGGCAGCGACGACTGCGGCGGCGACGGCTGCGGCGGCGGCAACAGCGGCGACGGCTGCGGCGGCGACGGCGGCGGTGGCTGCAGCGGGGTCGGCGACTGCGACAGTGGGGGCGGAGGCAACGGGGAAGGGGGACTCGGCAAGGACAGACCAGGGGTACCACCAGAGTTAGCAGACTCCTCAACGGGGACAACCGACGGGAGGGGAGTGACGTGAGAGACACCAGACGGGGCAGGACGAGGCGAGAGAGGGGCAGGGGCTACCGGGGGAGAGGGAGCAAGGAACAGGGGGGGGGCAACTGGGAGACCTCGGTGAGGGAAGCGGCGGTAGAAGGAGACTGACTCGTCAAAGGTAACGTCACGAGAGTGGAGGAAGCGGTGAGACGGCGGGTGATAGAAAAGCCAGTCAGACGAGTCCTGGGGGAAACCAAGGAAGACACAGGGGACAGTGCGGGCAGTAAGCTTGTCCGTGCCAGAGGCACGAACGTGAGCAAGGCAGCCCCAGACGTGGAACGCAGATGCGTCACCGGGGGACCCGGTCCAAAGGAGGGTCGGCGAAACCTGCGGCCGCTGGGACCACAGGTTAAGCTAGTGAGCAGCATAGTGAACAGCGAACGGCCACAGAAAATGGGGGGCATCGGCATGGATCATGGAGGTACGGGCGACCTCCATGACCAAGCCGATGCGGCGCTCAGCAACCCCATTCTGCTGTGGCGAGTCCGGCAAGGTGTACGACTGGGTGATGCCCTCCGCACGACAGAACTGTCCAAGCTGACCAGAGGCGAACTCGCCGCCACGGTCGGAGTGGAGACACAACACGGGGAGATCGCGGTGGAGACGCGTAGCCACAACCCACGGGAGAAGAACGTCGGGCACGTCGGCCTTCCACTCCAGGGGAAACACCGTGGTGTAGCGCGTGCAGTCATCGACAAGCACAAGGAAGTAGCGCTCACCGCGCGGTCCGGGGACGGGGGCAGGGCCCCAAACGTCCTGGTGCAAGGTCTGAAGGGGGGCAGTAGCCGGGCGCAGCGAGGAGGAGTGTGGGGTACGGCGGAGCCGGCCCTCGATGCAAGGCGTGCACGGTGGCGCAGTCGAGGGAGGAAGGGCGGGGAGCGACGCAGGGAGACCTAAGACAAGGCCGTGCTGGGACATGTGACGCAGACGAGGGAGAGCAGGGTGACCTAAGCGGTGGTGCCAGCGAAGGGACGGGTGAGTGAGGGAACGACACGAGCAAGCTGCAGCAACCTGGGAGGACGCACCAACCGGAGGGGAAGCGGTGTCTAGGGTAAACAGATCGGACACCGGGTCCCGGGGTAACGTCGCAAAGGGGGAACCTGAGACAGCCTCTGAAGAGACAGCGAACCGCTCGTGCCCGGGGAACGTGGTGGTGACGCCGAGGTCCTGGAGACAGCCGACACCAACCAGGTTCCTCGAGAATGAGGGAACGTGGAGGCCTGTAAGGGAGCCCGAGGGAATTGTTGGACAGGGAAGGGACGTAGAACTGCGAGCGACGACAGGACCCGCAGAGGGGTCAGCGAGAGAGACGACAGCTGGCGTAGCAAGCGGCGTGAGCTCGGAACGGTCGCGGAAGAAGCAGGCAGAAGCACCGGAGTCGAGAGTGAAGGACAGCGCCGTAGTGGCGGGGGCAGGGAACGGAGCCGGTGCAGAGACGAGGCTAGACAAACTAGGCAGTCCTACGCCTGACGCAGCAGGGGAGGCTAGGCTACACAACGGTGCAACACCTAAACTAGAGAACACATGGTAATAAGATCCAGCAACACTAGCAGCGTCAGAATACAAGGCATGCAAAGCAGCACCTATCTGATCCATGTCTAGCTCAAAGATCGGCACGCCCTGGCGGAGCAGGCGGTGCCAGTCAGGGAGGTCCGGGGCCGGGCCAAAACGACGACGAAACGGATCGTCGAGGCGGCGGAAACAGTGGGCAGTCGGGTGCGGGCGGCGCCACAGAGTGCCGCGAAGGGGCCCGGTCTGAAGCTGGTACTGACAGGTCACAGCACCGGAGCCGCTGGTAGACACCAAGCTGCGTGGGCCGCCACCACTGCCACCACCTCCTCAGGTGCCGGGCCAACCAGGCGGGAGGCGAGCCCACTGCTGCGGGGGCTGCGGCTGGGATGGCGGCTGCTGCTGGGACGGCGGCTGCTGCTGGGACGGCGGCTGCGGCGCGGGCTACTCCTGCTGCGACTGGGGCTGCTGCTCCTGACCACCAATGCTAGCCCCCCCAGACGGACTACTCTCACGACCACCAACACCACCACCACCACCTGCGCCACCACCCCTACCACCCTGGCGACCACGGC